CCCCCCCCCCCTCCCCCCCGAGCCCTACATATCACATACACTCACTGAACAAATGAACCAGCCAACCACGGAATACTCAACAAACATCCCTCATAATAGGCCCTGTGTCCGCCGGCCAGCCTCCATGCGATCGATCGCCGCCTCTCCTCCCTCTCTCCCCTCCCTCTCCCCCTTCACGTAGCATCCATCCATCAATCGTCTTTCCTCCGCCACTGCTGCAGAAAGGCAATCCATCACACAAGCAGCACATATAGTGGCAAAGAACCAGGCCAATCACAGGTTCCCCAGCAGGCTCTCTCTCATCACAGACCCAAGCAGACCACTGTCCCACTCCCTATGCTGGGATGCCGCTGCTGTTGTTGGTGGCGATGCTGGGGCCGCTGTTGTCTCGGGGGCTGTCTCATGCTCAGCGGCCTGCTGCTGATCTTCGGGTGTGGGGGTGTAGTTGAGGAGGGTCGCAGCCACCAGGTACTTCTGGTCGCGCAGCTGGTGATGCAGCCGGTCGAGCGCACGGCCAGCAGCCGGCAGGCCGACCACCACCATTCGCCCGAGCAGTGCCAGGTGGTAGCAGTACCTCTGGAGGAAGCACGCCGCCCAGAACCACACCCCCCCTCCCTCCATCATGCTCACGGCACGCCAGTCGAAGGGCAGCGGACGGCAGCTCACCAGCTCCCACAGGCAGAGCAGCCGGCCGCTGTGTGTGAGGGCCTTGGCCAGCAGGGCGGGGAGGGCGAGATGAAGGCCCAGCTCGATGAGGGCTGGGCCGACCAGCTGACGATAAACCTCCCTGTGCAGCTCGAGAGAGAAGAGACCCACTGACCGGTACAGTGTGTGCACCTGAGGATGGACAGCACGGTCAGGAATGAATGGCTGTATGGATGGATGGATGTCTCAGCGTCTCAACCCACCTCTTCGAGTCTCTGTGTGAGGGTGCCGAGGCCCTGCAGTGCGCCCATCTGAGTGAGCCTGACGACGCACTTGAGGCAGACGAGCCCGGCGCCCCAGCAGTGGAGAGGCAGGAAGGACGGCGAGTGGTACCACGGCAGACGCAACGGCACCACCAGCAGAACGTTCAGCAGCGAGCCCACCATCAAAGGCAGCACACCCAGCACCACCACTATCAGCAGAATCGTCGCCAGCCCACCGAGGATCACCTGCAGACAACGCAGCGATCGTGTTGGATGCACAATTCCGTCTCTATCCATACCTGTCTGGGCGTCTCTCTGAGCTGTGCGGCCAGGTATGTGGAAGATCTCTCCACCAGCAGCACCAGGGCAGCAGCTGCCGTCACCCCCACGCACAGCGGCAGGAAGTCATGCGCCAGCTCGGACGAGAGGGGGGCGAAGAAGTAGCGGCCCAGGGCGAGGGGGACGCTCAGCACGAAGGTGTTGGTCACCACAGCAACCGCCAGAAACAAGACGGAAAACATCAGCAGCTGCAGCCTGAAAGAACACACAAAACACACACACACACAGAGACACACACATCGGTGCACACACATATTGCTGTCAATGGCGCTTTCTCTCTCTCTCTCTCTCTCTGTGTGTGTGTGTGTGTGTGCGTGTGCGTTCATCTCACCTTATCCAAATGTGCAGGCCCACCGCCCTGGCCCACGACGCCACCTTTCTCGACCACTCCAGCCCCCCCTCCCCTATCGGCGCCAGCACTGTCGTCGTATAGGAGAGAGTGTTCCACACCAGCTCGCCCCCCTTCATCCCCAGCTGCACCGCATACACATACGCCGGGCGCATCCCGTGGGTCACACGGCCGGGCAAGAGCCTCAACGGGGGCAGACTCCGCGCCACAGTCGACACCACAGGTATCGCCGGCAGCACTATGCGTAGTCGTCTCCATTGCCGAGCCGTATGTGCGAAGGGGAGAGGGGGGAGGGGCGGCAGCCGCGGCAGCTCTATCCTCAGCGTGCGGATTCGTCGTAAGCCGCCGTGTGGGAAGAAATGCCCACCCAGGCCGAGAAAAGACGAAGAGCGCGATGAGTGCGCGTGCGAGAGGCTGCCGCTTGCAGCAGCGCTGGCAGAGGCCGACTGAGAGGCGGGGCCGGCCAGACGGGAAGAGGGGAACATCATATGCGGTGGTGCCGGGGATGGTCTGAGGGTGTCTGCTTCGGTCGTGGGGAGGGAGAGGGGAGGGAGGGGGTGTGACTGGCCGCTGGTGGATGAGAGGGAGTCGTCGGCGGCCTGGTGGGGGTCATCTGGTGGTCTTTGGTCGTCTGGCGGCTGGGGCTGGTTCTTCTTGAGCAGGTAGCCCAGACCCATCAGCCACAGACACCACTCGAGTGCTGCCGCAACCCACCTGCACAAAGGCATTACGGCCACAGAGACACACGCATGCAGCCAGCTGCGTGTATCCAGTGGTGCCCTCATGGCTTACGCAGCGAGGTGCTGTGACGCCCTGAGCGATCTGAGAATGCCTGGCAGCAGTATGTGCACCGAGAAGAACTCTATGGGGAACCACAGATGCGACTCCAGCTCCAGACCGCCTGCGCTGCTCTCGGGCTCCATGCTGTGAAGGGGTATGGTGGCTGTGGTGTTGGGAGTGACGAGGGGGATGCTTAGCGCGTCCATGTCGGGCGAGAGGGTGTGGGAGGGCGGGGTGCTTGACCATCTGAATATCCGCACCGGCAGCAGGTCTGGGCAGGTGACCCGCAGCAGCGAGGGAGGCAGGTAGAAGACCACGTAGATGGCGATCGAGTGGACCGCCAGCAGATTCAACAACACCTGCACACAACACACAATCACACAGTGACCGCATCCAGGAAACATCCGGCTGCTCTGCTGGCATACCCTGAAGAGTGATCTGGTTGAGAGGTGTCCCGACAGGATCGGAATGGCGTTGCCTCCGCCCGCGTGCGAGAAGAGGTGTCTGTGGACGAAGATGGACGCTAGGAAGAAGTCGCCCGATTGGATGGTGCGCAGGGCGTCGTCCGAGAGGATCCGCACCAGGCACGACTCGATGAACGTGCAGATGCACAGATAGCTGTAGCCCAGACACACCTGTATCCACCCAAATACACATTTACACCTGTCACACATCGATAATTCCGTGTGCGTACCCTTAGGAGCGTGCCAAAGAAGAGGTATCGGTTGACGAGGGCCGCCCGGACGGCGTGGGGCACCTGGAAGGCCACGTCGCACACCGCCCATATAATCAGGTTGCCCAGGTGCAGCGGCATGCCGAACGACACGGCGCAAGCGATGAGAGTGTTCTTGATGTCGATCCACACGTGGCCCATGCACGCGCCGCCCTCAGTCAGCAGATACCACAGCAGCTGCAGGAAGCTCTGCACGGTGGGCGTCTGGGCGAGCGGCGTGAGCGCGACGAGGAATGCCAGCCACACCACCAACACGGCACCCACAAACAACGCCGTCAGACTCACCAGCGCACTGCACCAACACACACAGCCCAGGCACATGACCCCTCTCCCACACAAATGCGTCTCTCTTTCCTTCCCTGCGTACCCAACAAGGTAGATGACCAGGTCGGTCCGGATGCTCTCGCCCGGCAGCGGTGCCTCCATCAGCACACGCAGCTCCCTCGCCGCATCGCCACTGCCACTGCTGGCGACACCATGCCCGTCGCCCTCCTTGAGTATCACGCGGAATCCGAAGCGCAGGTCCCACTCGCCCTCGTCCAGCCGCCCCTCCGCCACCAACACCGACTCCTCCTCCCTCCGACCACTGCCACTGCTGCCGCTCGCCGTTTGCCGCTCGCCAACCGTCGTCAGGATGGGCCTCTTCTCCGGCCTGGCGAGCTTGTGGAGCGAGGGCAAGCGTCTGACGAACGGGTTGGGCCGCATGCACACGCCCTGGGAGCCGGTGTTGAGCGAGGGGGGCGAGGGCAGTGGACATGTGGGGGAGGGTGAGAGAATTTTGCTGGTGGTGCGGTTGGTGGTGGCCTTCTTGTCTCCTCCTCTCCCCTGCGTATGTGACGCCGCTGCGGTGTTGGCAGTGGTGGAGCTGAGGACCCTCTGGTGGTCGAAGTTGAGGAGCAGGGCCACACGGTGAGGCGGCCTGGGGACGGGCGTCTCGTCCGCGGCTGGCTGTGCGGATGTGGCGTCGATGGTCAAGAGGGAACCATCCTGCACACACACACACACATGCAGACCGGCGACACACATGAAAGACGATGCTTGCTGTGTCCGTGTCCATGTGCGTGCCCACCGGTATCCTCGCCGCATCCATGACGGCCTGCATCGCCCGCCTCCACAGGCCAGCCACAGCCGACCGCACCTTGAGCGCCACCCGCCGGCCGTGATGGCTCGACCGAGGCGACCCATACATGCCTCCAGCAGCCGCAGATGTAGCCGTCACCCTGCCCTCGCCATACTCATCGCCGCCGTGCTTCTCAGCCCATCGGCCGAGCACAGAGGCTGGGGGAGGTGGGCACTGCAGAGACGCCAGCAGAGACAGCTGCGTGCACGTGTCGGGTTTCTGGGTTGCAGGGCACATGTTGGCGTCGAGATAGCCGCTCTCGGTGGAGAAGGTGCCGCACCACACGTACGACGACTGGGGACTCGACACGCGACGCCCGCCCGCCTTGCGTGGAGAGGGGAACGGGACACCTGATGACGGCAGCGTGTCGTTGGCCGCACGGTGCGGTGGTTGTGCTGGCGTGTGGAACAGCCCTCGCCATCTCGGTGGTGTGGGAGAGGTGTAGAATGGCTTTGGGGTGCCTTCCGGGACGGCTGCGCCGCTGTCGCCCCGAGTGACGGCCCACAGCTCCACTTGCACGTTCTCGACGGGGACGCCGATGCGGCTGGCGGGCGGGCGTCTGCGTGATGAGGTGGTGTTGGATCGGAAGAGGACGCTGTCGTCAGGCCAGTGTCGCATGAAGATGGTGGGCTCCAGCTTGGCCAGGGAGGGGTTGAACAGGGTGGCCGTGCGGACCTCTGGCTCGTCTATAAAGGCCTGTGTGAGATGGAGAAAGACCATCAATTACGCGAAAGTGGAGCACGCTGTGGCGTGTGCCGCTGCGTACCTGTTCCAGGAGCTTCTGCAGCCCCCACATGGTTGTGTACTGGCCCACAAAATATGGGATCACCAGCAGCAGCAGTGTCGCCGCCAGGTTAGAATACATCAGCATCATCTGCAGGCAACACAAACAACACAAGCACACCACACACACGCATCATCCAACAACGCCTTCTCCCGCCTCCGCCACCCTCCTCTCCACTCACCATGCAGATAAGGCTCTTCTTGCAGGGGCCCACCAGTCCCACCATGTTCCACACCTCATCCTCAAGCACATCGCCCTCGCCCTCCAGGTCGAACTCGTCACCATCATCCCCAACATCACCCACACCTCCAGCAGCCTCAGCAACCTCACCCACAACACCATCCGGCCCCATCGCGCCACCAGGCTGGCCTATCGCCGTGGATGAGGGCGGCGGCACACCACCCGAGTCGCCAGGAGAGGATGGCGGGTGGTCGTCGTTGGGAGACGGCTCGTTGGTGCCCCACAGCCAGGCCGTGAAGGGGTTGCGCAGCACGGGGAACGGCGGGGACGCGTAGTGGCTTGGTGCGCCAGGCAGAGGGGGCCCTGCTGCTGGCTCCTCTGCTGCCGATGACGATGCTGCTGAAGCCGATGCTGCTGAAGCCGATGCTGCTGGCTCCGGTGCTGGTGGTTCCGGTGCCGACACGGCGGGCGGCTGCGTGTCTTCCCGCGACACAGACCGAGAGGGCGGCGACGGTGCCTCAGACGGCTGCGGTTGCGGCTGTGGCTGCGTGTCGCCAGCCTGCTCCGTGAGCGTGTGCAGCCTGTCGATGGGCCGCTCAGCCGCAGAAGCTGCCTCGTCCTCCGGCCGTGTCGGCGTGGTGGATGGCGTGGGCGCCGCCGCGTTTTGGAGGAACGCCGGCTGCCCCCCTCCATTCTGTGTGTCCTCGGCGTCGAACCACAGCTGGTGCTCCACTGCCTCCAGCGAGTAGAACCGAAGACGACCCACCAGCGCCGTGAAGGAATTCGACAAAGCAGCCAGGCCGTGGTCTATCGCCTCGCCATTGTGGGTCTCTGGCGGCTGGGCGCCCACTGTGGGTGAGGGCGGGAGCAGACCAGACGGTGCCGGCATGCTGGCCCCCAGCGAGCTATCGACGTCCCCGGACCCGCCCCATGTGGGTGTGTCGGCTTGTCTTCGTGTGGATGGGGCCGTGGTGGGGGTGTCGCCAGCTCTGATGGTGGTCGGAATGTGCTCGCCTGCCGGCGACGCTGGGTGGGTCTCGATGTGTGGGTGGGGGGGAGAGAGGGTGTCGACGGAGGAGGACGCGTCCCCGGTCTCCACTGCTGGCGGCTGCTCTTGCTGCTGCTGCTGCTGCTGTGGTCCACTATCACCATTCTCGTTGTTTTGCTCCTCGTGCTGCTCGCCGTCCTGTCCTCCTTGTGCGGGCTGCATCTGGAGCTGGTGGAAGGAAAGGAGCATGTTCTCGACGACCGACTCGATGTAAAGCAGAAGCAGACCGCCGATGTTGAGCACCAAACCATACGCAATGGAGCTGAAAACAAACGCGCAGACCCAGAGAGAGAGTCATGACAGCCAGCCATGTGTGCAGATGAGATGATCGTACCTGAAGAATGACTGGGGGAAGAACCCGTGTGTGCCGCCCACAAAGAGCATCCTGGCGGCCGTGAAGGTCAGGTACGGCAGCAGCACCAGCCACAGAGTCATGACATACACCACGCGCAGCAGCACGTTGCTCCACTCCTTCACGTAACCCCATATGCCTACCACACACATACCCACACAAAGCACAACACAGACATTTTCCCACGTTATCGGCCGATTACATCCTGTTGCGTGTGCGCACCTTGAATAAGCTCGAAGTACGAGAGCCGCTCCGGCGCGTCAGCCGCGTACACGGGAGCGAACTGAAACTCGTGCTTGCACAACTCGCAGTGCGTCGACCCCTGGTGCTGCAGCCAACGCCTGAACCAGCCGATCACACACACACACACACAGCCAGTCAGACCCACACAGAGTCACCTCCGTCCTCTTTGGTGTCTGACCTGAGGCACTCTTCGTGAATGTATTTGATGGAGCCAGAGCACTTGCAGGGGTAGTAGAGCTCGCCCTCCTCTTCGCCCAACCGACAAAACTGCACACACGACACAGACAGCACGCACAGAGGACACAGACAGAGAGGAGGAGCGACGGTGACGACCCCCCTGACGCCGGTCAATCCGCGTGCGCGTCCTGCTCACTCGGCATAGCTTTTCCTCTGAGTGCTCGTCCACCATGCTGCGGAACCAGCTCTTGTGTCAAACCAAATGCACAGAGGGAAAACTGGACATCAAACTGACACGTACAATTCCTTCAGCCAAATTTCGCATGGGAATCCACTGCATTTCTCTCCGTTTCGCGCTCGCCTCCTCTCTAACACACTCCAGAAGCCAAGCTCGCAGTTTGGGGGTGCGGCCGATTGTTGGGGTGTTTTGTGGCTGTGTGGTAGCGTACGACGTCTGTCGGTTATCGTACTGTTCGTGTCTGTTGACTGGTTGAGTCGTTTCGATGTCGGTTGAGGAGAAGTCAAGACGCTCCAGGCGTCACACGCACGCTCCGTCGTGGATGAAGAGCCGTAAGCGAACGCACACCTCCCACACCCCACCCCAATACCCCACAAGCCTCGGATTCCCTCGGTCTGAAGTCATAGTGTCGTCCGTGTGTGTGTCGGCGTGTGTGTGCAGCTGACTTCGTGTACACGACCAAGAAGGGCGAGGAGGAGGAAGAGGAGGAGGATCCCAAGAAGAAGCGCAAGAGAGCCGCGCCCAAGAAGGTTTCAGCCAAGAAGGCTGTCGCTCCGGTCGCCCAACAGGGACCTGCCGTGGTCGCCGTGGCTCCCGGTACGTCACACAGTCACACATGGGCCATATGGATGCGTCGGAACACATGTCTCACGTCGCCATGCCTCCCATGCCCATTCCTCCCATCCTTGTGCATGTCTGTGTGTGTGTCAGGTGTGGCTGTGGACGCTCCGGGCATCGCGTTGGACCCCGCGACGGGCGCGCCGATGGTGCCGACATCGCCGGCGAGCAAGGCCAAGAAGAAGGCCAAGGCGGCACCGAAGCGCAAGGGCGGCCGGCGAAAGGCCGCCAAGAAATCGGAGGGCGCCACGCCCGCGGAGGGAGAGGAACACCATGAGGAGGAGGAGCACGAGCACGAGGGCGAGGAGGGGGAGGCCGAGAAGGAGCAGGTGAATGGCGTTGAGGGCGAGGGCGCTGAGGGCGGGGAGCAGAAGGAGGACGAGACCATGCAGGACAAGAAGACCAGCGATGAGACTGCCGTCCCCGAAAGTAAAAGCCGCACACCGCATACACACATGCGTATGCATGCATGCCCGGGATGTGTGTCATTCCCTGTCTGTGTCTTTGTCTGGCCTGGTCAGAAGTTGAGGAGGCCAAGAAGGAGGAGGCTGGCGAGCCCGCCGAGGCTGCTGGTAGGTCATTAACCAACGCACCCCGACAAGAAAACAAAACACACACACTATGCAAAACACACCTTCTGCCCCTTGCTCTGTGTCACATACACAGGTGCGGCTGAGGAGGCCCCCGAGCCCCCGAAAGAGGAGGAGATGAAGGAGGAGCCCAAGGCCGAGGAGGAGGAGGGCGCTGCTGCTGCTGCTGAGGCCGAGGAGGCCGCTGAGGCCCCCGCTGCTGCTGGTGCTGCCCCCGAGGAACCCGTGATGGGCGACACCGAGGAGACCCAGCAGCAGCAGGAGCAACAGGAGCAGCCCGAGGAGCCCCCCGCCCCTCCTGCTGCCGAGGAGAGCCAGATGGCCTAGAGAAATCAATCGTACACACCCCTAACACCACAGGATGTCTGTCTGGCTGCTTGACTGTCTGATGGATGGATGGATGTGTCGACGTACGTAATGGGTGACCTGGCCTGTCTGCCCGTCTACGTACCTACCTACCTGATTGTCTGTCGAGTCGCTTATGGGGACATTTTTTGAAACGCAAGGAGAGATTGGATGGTGTCTGCCTCATGGATCGATGCATGGTGGCTGCTTGCGGGTGTGAAAGCGTACGTACTTGTTTTGTCTGTCTGTGGTCTGCTGCTGTGTGTACACATGGCTGGCCTGCCTGCCTGACGGACCAGAGAGATGTCGAAGCGTTTTTTGGTGACTGACGTGTGCTCGGGTGTCACTCACTCATCACTCACGCACTTACTTTTTTGGACGCAGTGGATGGATGGACGGACGGATGGACTGATGGATGGAATGGCTGTGTTGGTGTGTGTGTGGTACGCTACAGGGACCCCTGCACGTGGTGGCACCATACGCAGACAGACAGACATGGCCAGTTTTACAGGGGGGAGACAGACAGACAGACAGAGAGGGAGGTACCCTACCGACACAGTGCGCACGCGAATTTTTCCCATTATTAATTCTTCGTTGGTGTGTGTCTGTGGCCCGTCTACGAGTCAGCTCATCGCTACACCGGGCCGCAGGCGATGGCGTAAGTGTCAGTTTCTTTTCTTTTTAACCCGAAATGAGTGAGTGCCGTCCTGTTTTCTTTCTCACCCATGTATATCGATTTGTGGCCGCCGTGTCCGTCTGTCCGTCGTGTGAGCACCTTTGTGTGTGTGTGTGTGTGTGTATGTGATATTTTTACCCGTAGGTATTCCTGCCTGCCTGCCTGTTTGTCGGTGTATAGCGCACGTGCCTCGGGGGGAGTGAGCAAGCGAACAAGCCATCAAGGAAGGCAGGCAGAAAGCAACTGCAGGTGGCTGGCCCGTTCACCACATGCACACACACACAGACATACACTATATGTACCATACAAGCACACTCCCTCACTACCTCACTCCCTACCTCTCTCACTACACATGCTCACTGGGTTGCATTGCGTGACTGACTGTGTGGCTGCTGTGGACGGATGAATGATGGCTGGATGAATGGATGGATGGCTTGATTAGAGTATGGGTGTAGTTGACTAGAGGGCGGGAGGGTGGATGGATGGATGGATGGACGAGTGGAGAGACAGATAATCAGGCAGCGACGGATCAATCAGTCAATCCATTGAATCGTCACGACTAAGACAGTCGTTCGCCACCATCGTTTGTCGTCTCACTTGTTCACGTCTACACGCAAAGCAATTGTATGTCACACACACCTATGTACAAAAGCCACACACGGCCCACGACACATCGACTGTTCCTCCCCGTCTGTCTACCCCTCTTCATGACTCACTCGTCACCCCCTCCCTCCCCTCCCTCGTCATTCCCTCATGATCGCAGCACGGCAAATTCATCTTCCATGGCCTGCTCAACGAACCGACGCAGCTCGTCATCTCGTAAGCCCTCGGCTGACTTGATCCCACGCAACGCACTCGACAGCTGCTGCAGCTCACTCTAGACACACACACACACAGGGGGAGACACGCCCATCCGTCTCCGCGTGTCAATGTGTGTGCGGGCTGGCTGGCTGACGGTAAGTGTGTTCCAGTCGTCTTGGTTGATGGCGTTGGAGCAAGGCCCGCAGTCGGCTGTGGCTGACGGCTGCACGGGTGGCCGGACGGCGGCCGCGGCCACCCGACGGATGCTCTCGTGTTCGTAGGCTGGCAACTGGCTGCCCAAACAGAATATCTGACATCAACGTGGAGAACAGATGGAAATTGGCTTCTCTGTGTGTGCTCCGGGTGTCTGTGTGTGCTCGTTGACTCACTCTGTCGGTGTTCTTGAGCCCGAAGTCTTTCGGCGGGTTTGTGATGACAAAGGGCAGGATATTGTCTGAGGTGCCGGCAGCCCTGACGGTCAACAAGTGAGTATGTGTCCGTGATCAGCTTGGTCCATGTGTATGTGTGTCTCCCAACCTGTAGATGCCGAGTGGTGTGAGTTTGGGTGTCATTTGTTTGAGCATGTAGGTCAGCAGGGCGCCGAACGTCTTGCTCGGGTCGTCGTCCAGCCCGTAATCCCCACTGAGTGAGGGAAGAACAAGGACAACAGATGGAAATCCGCTTCTCTGTGTCTCTTCGTTTGCGTACATCCAGTCAGGCGGCATGGATATCTGGAAGAGGTTTGAGCTTTTAAGCCCCTTCCTCTCCATAATCGCCTTGACCTTCTCGTCCTGAGTCCTGCTCACACGACACCACCCGCCCACCCACACACCTAGGTGGACAGCGGATGAGGCGTGCAGGTGGGCCGTGCTTGCCTTGCGACGAGTAGTGCGTCGATGATGTTCATGAGGTGTGTGTTGTACACCCCCTGCGCCAAGATGGTGTCGACGATCGACGGCAGGGATATGTGCCCCGCGGCAAAGAAAGGCGAGTTGGTGTAGTTGTGGTCCCTGTAGCTCTGATCGAGACACACACGCACACACATAGAGAATAGAATGCATTGATGTCGATCTCTCTCTTTCTATGCAGACAATACCTGCTCCAGCTTCTCGGGCACTCGTTCTGTCTCGAGCAGCCTGAGATGTGAGGCCTTTTCTATCTCCATGATGACATGCACATATGGGTTGATGCTGCGGATCATCTGGAAGATCAGCAGCGCCTCGCTGTCATGGACCAGCTCGCTGTCCCCCTGACTCTCCGGGCCGTGGATGTCGTCGCAAGCTCCTGCTGCTGCCAGCTCCTCTGACGCCTTCTGGCCGTGCCTGGACAAACCATCAATCGGCAGGCGAGACAAGATCATGCCGGCAGGCGATCGTCACGTACGCTCTTTTCTTGAGCTGCGGCAGTATGACGGCCTTGTCGGCTTCGAACGCATTGGCGCGAAGCAGGTCGTAGAAGTGACTCGCCTGCCCCTGAACATACGACATGGTCCTTCGTTCCAACAGCACACAGAGAGAGCAGTACTGTACCCCCCTCCCTCTCCCTGGACGCACTTGTACGATGAAGACGTCTGGGATTCGTCGCAGCAAGCGTCGAAAGTTGTCAGGGACAGTGGGATTGAGGATGACGATCGGCTGGTGTGCGGGCAGGTAGGTGGCGCGCAGGCAGTTGATGAACGATATCAGTCCAGTGGACATGCCGCACACCAACACGTGCTGGCGCACGTAACAATCTGTGCCCTGCACGCAAGCGATGCAGCAGTGAGCCAGACATGCGCACACAGACGTTCATTGAGATGCATACCGGCAGAGCGAGTGACTCATAGATGAGCTTCCGAGGAACCTTTTTGGCCTGCTTTGCCAGATCCTTGTCCGCCCTGCTTTTCTGCCCCGTTGTCCTTTTGTCCTTAGCGGCCCTTTTCATCCGTCCATCGTCACTTGATCCGACGTCGTCCGCGTCGAAGTAGGTCTCGAGGGCGTCCACAGGCTGCCCTTGCGTGAGCGTGCCATAGTATGCCCGACGAGACGGCGAGGGCGACCGCGGCGCTTCTTCTTTTTTTCTCTCTGCCATTGGCGGCTGGATGTCATCGGCAGAGCTGCCCTCCGAGAAGCGATCACGGTCCACTATTGTTACTTGTGAGCGGCGACGCTGAATGCCCGGCGGCCTCAAGATGGATGGTCGCCGCACGAGTGCCGTGTCGGTCAGAGTGCCCGTCTCCTCCTCGTGTGCAGGTGACGTCGGCGACACAGGGCTGTCCCTTCTGCTCAAGCGACGGCTTTGAGTCGTCGTCAGATTCGGTCGCCGGAAGTTCAACAGCCGCACTGAGGACACCCGTTTCCACACTGAGACGATAGACTCACGGATGACTTTCATCGTCTGTCTCCGCTGCAGGCCCCCACCGCCAACCGACGCTATTGTGTGTCTGTCCGAGTCAGACGGGGCTGCAGATGATTCGGCCAGGAAGGACGCCTTGCTGCTCACTGCTGAAGCAATGGAGTGCGAATCGTCGTCATGATCGTGTCGATCGGCTGGTGGAAAGGCGGAACGGCGGGAGTGAACGGCGCCTGGGAGGTTCGCGGCTTCGGGGGAGGCCTCCTGCAGAAGCAGACGGCGACCAGAAAGACAGCGAACAGAAGGCGTGTGGAGGTGTGCTGCCTGATTGTTTCATAGAGCCTACTGCGCTCATGCGGAAGCTGGTCCGAGTAAAGAGCCTTTTGATGGGCGATCTGCTTCCCCGGCGAAACTCGTATGTGGCGATGTCGTCTGCGCTTGTCTTGCTGCCGCATATCACGTAGCCGTAGATGCCGCTTGACCTGCAGACATATCGCAGATACACACAAACACGCAGACCAAAAAGTAGATACATTGTTTGCTGGCTGCATGTGCGTACCTGCCGCTGCCTGTGTGGTGGTGTCCGCGCAGTTTGTATGATGTGGGGTTCAGCACAATGATCGGACCCTCAGACGTGGAAAACTCAAGGCCTATCTGCATTGCACCGCACGCCATGGTACAGAGAGATGACCTCTCACCGGGTCACTTTGTCCTCACCAGAATGGCGTGGAATTCGTGGAAGATGAAGTTGGCCACGTCCTCAAATGCCCACCCCGAGAAGGTTGCCGATATCGCCGTGCGATACATCTCATATGACACACCCTCTGCACGCACACAGGGATTCACAATCTCATTTTTGATTCCCGTCTGCTCTGTGTGTCGTCGATACTGCCAGTTCGCTTGCCTAGGTAGCTGCGCATCCACCCGTCATTGGGGAAAAGGTTTGTGTCGCTCATTTGTTTGGCGCTGAGGCTGCCGGCAGCGACCACCAAATTGTGCACCAAAGTGACGAATCCGGGACAAAGACAGGACTTGGCCATGATGTTGACCAATATCTCCTCTATGCACACAACCTGCAGCCAGACATTTCATGGCATATGAGTGCCTTCCCATTGGTGCATTGCTTTGGTCACTTGGTCATTTTTCGATGAGAAGCGCCTCGACATCCGCTGACGCTTGATGTCTGCACCATTTCGAAAAGTACGAGATACAAGCATATAACCGCAATGAATTCACCCCCACCCTTGTCTCTGTCGGCACACAGCCGGTAGAAGATCTTAGACTCAGCCTTGACCACCTGAAGCCCGCACCTGAGGGAAACAATCAAGAAACAATCAAGTAAATGCATGTCTCCAGCCCGATCAATGTCCGGTCATACCTCATAGACGTTTTTGCATCCTTGGCCTGTGCGACTTTCTTGATTGACAGTGCACTCATGATGGTCCGTGCATCCTCTACCAGCGGGTCGGAGGCCTTCCTGTCCACCATGAACACTGCCACGGCGGCTGATGACACTGCAGCACGGTTGCAGTCCTGTACACAAGAGATATTGGCGAGCGATACATGTGTCGAATGGTTGTAAGTCACCTTCGGGTTTGTGGGGCTGCCCTGCAGATATGTCAGCTTCGCGGTGTACTTTGGATTCCTGAATGGAACGCACTCATTCGTCTGACTCTCACACATTATGTGCGCATACCTCAGCAGCGCTTCTTGCATTTGTGTGGGCAGGTCGTGCTGAATCATCACAAGCGGCCTGCATTACCACACACACAACTTCGCATCAACAGTGCGTCGTACACAGATGAATGGGTGCCGTCCACAGCACTTGCCTGTTTTGGTTTTGCACGCCGTGGTCCTCGTGGTAGAGTTCCCTGAGGAATTCCTGCAGCGACTCGCCCTGCAGGTGACCCACCAACACGATGTGCGGCACGGTCTTCTTCGATGGCATGCGGAAGTAATCATTGCGATACTTTGCCTGACAGACAGACAGACAGACAGACAGATAGACACTGATTGCATGGATTGCTGGCCAGTGGAGGCCCACCTGCACATCGAGAAGCTCAGCGAGCTGGCTTGTCTGCTGCGGCAGCAAGACAATCGTCACTGACAGCAGGACAACCACGGTCATCCTGCAAGCGGATGATTGATTGATTGATGGATGGATGGGTAGATAGGAGACACGACATGTGCAATGACTCACCTGCCGGTGATTGTTTGGGGTGCGATGTCTCCGTATCCCAGTGTGGAGATGGTGACGATGACAAAGTAGATCCAGTCGTGAACGTCCAAGTGGCAGATTCGCTCCCGATATCGCAGCGGCAGATCGTCATACTGAAGCATCGTCTACGCACACGAAGACAGTCACACATGTACGATGTGACTATTGTGTGTCCAATCGATGTACACATGCGGCAGACCTCTTCTAAGCATTCTTTCTCGGGTTTGTTGTCGAGGTCCTCCACTAGTTCCATCCACCCTGCCGTGATGAAAAGCAGCGAGAAAATCGTGAGGCTCACAACCGCTATTTGCCGATACAGCAGTGACTCCTGAACACACAGCAGCACACGACATGCAGATGTCGCCAGGCACAAGACAACACCACAATGTCCACCCAGTCTCACAGCACCCAGTGGGCTACAAGCCGATAGAGCCGCAGAATTCTCAATATACGAAGCAGGGAGAAGAAGTCCAGCACTCGCACCTCCAGCTTGACAGTCTCCCTGAGTGCCCACTGCACAAAGACGGGCAGGATGGTCACCGCATCGAGCAGCGATGACCACGTCCGGATGTATGCCAGCTTGTTGGGCGACGCCACCAGCCGAAGCAGGTAGTCAAACAAAAAGAAGAACGAAAACGCAAGGTGCGTTGCAAAAAACTGAAGAACGACAAACACACGCATGCACATATCGTCTTTGGTTGATACATCTCCGTGTGCGCGGCATCCATCTCACCTCATCCGCACGTGCAAGCGCATCTTTCTCGTACGATTCTGCCACGTAGATCAGGCACTCGACGAAGCTGAGGGCGCTGTTTGTGGCATCGAACATGTTGGCCACCCTTGGGTTCTGGATGAACAGCTTGTTGACTAGCACCCGACACCTCCTAAAGACCTGGGAGACCTGGGAGATGAGCGAGTTCTGCAAGCGGAGGTCCAGCATGCCTGATGTCCTCGATGCCAGCGTTGAAGGCGCCACGAAGGTCGCCCGCCGCTGCAGGGAGCGCTCAGACGGATGCATCGCGACGAGAGTGAGACTGGGGGCGGGACGGGGGCTGCGAGCTCTGCTTGCATGTCCCGCTTTCACCTCAGTCTCGTTAAACACACTAACCAACCAACCACCTCCACGTGCGCGGTGGATTCGTCTATTCAGCCAGAGGAATCCTCTCAATGGCTAGACGTGAGGAGGGTTGGCATCCCTTGCCAGATGTCACTGACCACCTGAAGCAGGTGTCGCTGTTTGACGCTCTCAGCCTCCGCCGTAGCCACAGAGAGCTATCGACGCGTTCGTATATGAGCAGGGAGAGGCTGGCGGCTATAGTCTGGTCAGCACAGGGCATCAGCGACACATCCCGGTTCCGCAAGCGCACCGCTCCGTCTGCAGGAGCACTCTACCCAATCAAGTGAGGTGATCGCGATGGCATGGCATCACCTTTGCGCATCCATGTGTGTTTGTCTGCTTCCTTGCTTGCCTCTCTCTGACACCGCTCAGGTTGTACGTGGTCGTGTCGAGAGTGGATGGCCTTCCAGCGGGCGTGTATGAGTACTCGTGTGACCGACATGCCCTGGTGAGCAAGGAAGGCGTCGACAACCCCCGCGAGGCCCTGCCGCGAGTCGCTGCCGCATGCCGAGCGGAATGGGTGCGGGACGCCGAAGCGCTGCTCGTAGTGGTGGGCACGCCGGCTCTGCGTCACAAGTACGCTCAGGGGGCAATGCATGGCCGGCGTATGGCTGTGTACGTTCGTGTGCACATGGATTGCCTCATTTCTTGCCTCCAGGTACCACGGCAGGAGCGTGAGGTATGTGTGGGTGGAGGCTGGAGCCGCCACACAGAACGCCCTCCTGGCAGCGGCATCACTCGGCACGGCTGCGACGGTTGTGGGAGCGTTCGATGACGAGAAGGTGGCACAGGCCGTTGGGGATGACCTGACAACCATGAGATACGAGGAAGAGGGCCCAATCGTGCTCATCGCTCTCGGCCATCCTGTGTGACTCACTTGTGGTCATGAAAGGAATGTCTGTTTCGGTGTGTTTTTGTCTCCGTCTGTGTCTGTGTCTGTGTCTGAGGAAGAGGTAGCGGCGGACACAGACGGTCTCCACCATCTCTTGGCAATGGCCTGTACGTCAGTCACTTCCTACCTTGCTCTCTTTTTCATTGCGAGTTGGTCCCTGCTGTGCACACCTACGTATTTGTCGTGTGCATATATTTTTTGGCCTTTGCCGCTTTGTATATCGCGGCCAACACTGTCTTTTTCGGCAACACGTGATGAGTTGGAATCGGACGGCAATCGATTCGTGAACAACTGAAGTGATGGAATGATTAATGAGTGAACGACCGAATGACGGGTCCGTTGATGCTTCATCAACTCGCCAAACAAGCACTCTCACTCACACGAACGCATCCATGTAAGCATGTATGTATCCATATACACACATACACATACACATGTATGTTGGGTGTGCGATCCAAGAGACATCACATGAGTGTAAGATGCACATACGAGAAAGATGGAATGAAGCCACTCGTTTAGCATGAATGGACGGACACGCAGGAGAGCTACCTTGGCGAGTGAGTGAGTGAGTGAGTTGCCCACCTACCGATGAGCCTACACCATGTCACGTTATGAGCGCCACACACGCAGCGAGAGACGTGAAGAAAGAACAGCGTGCAACACATGCACCGATGTAAAAACGACATGTTACTGCTGCTCTGACGGCTGGCTGGCTGGCTGGCCGCCCGCATCCCTCATCAGCTCACCTCACCCATGTCCCCTCCCTCCCCTCCCTCGGTGCCCCGCGCGACATGCTACCGATATCCACAACTACATACTGCCTCAAAGCCAGCCGCAAATGCATTCGTGATTACGCACGATCAAAACACCAGATCCGAGACTGCCTGCCTGTCAGACCAACAGACACAACACAAGACAAGACAACACACCAGACCATGTACATGCGCACGCACATGACACGTACGATCGTTAGATACCCATCCCCGTCCCGCATACACAAGTCAGTCATCAGTGCTATATAACATCGGTGTAAGAACATCAACAACAAACGTCACTTTGCACAACACGAAATGTACAGAAAAGATCCAGTGGTCGTCAGCCGTTTTCACGAGCACAGGAAGGTACCATCATCACCCCTTGCCTATCCATCCCGCTGGTGGCAAGTGAGGCCGCGTGGCTGGGCGTCCGGCCACCACCTCTATCGCTCCCGCACGCCGACGCCGCGAACGCCCCTCCCAGCCATGGCTGGCCCTCCTCACCGATCTTGGCTGACGACGGAGAGACCGACCCGCCGCTGTTGTCATCGCTGCCGCTCTCCGTCTGGCGTGGTGGATGAGAGACACGGGAAGAGGAGAGGTGGTTGGTGGCACAGCTGAGGGAGGACGCCTCCCGGTCGACGGTTGTGAGAGTGGTGGACGATGTGTATCCCGACTTGGACGTCTGCTGCAGCCGATCGTCGCCGGACGAGCATTGCTCGGATGAGGTTGACTCGTCGTGACCGTTGCTGTGGTTGTGCCCGTGGCCGATGTCGGTGAGAGGAGGGGCTTCTTCTCTCGCTGGCTGGGTGGCCTTGTTGTTCTTGCTGCTCGAGCCACAGCAGCATTTGCTCACGATCCTGAATAGGTGCCGGAGAGAGCCCTGGTGACCTTCAGGTCCCAGCACCATGCACAGCTGCACACACAGACAGGCCAAAGTTGATCGTCTTGTGTGCATTGTGCTGTGCGTGGGTGTGCATGTACCGGGATGAAGAGTCCGAGTGAGTACACGATGCTGAACGCCACGGCGAGCGCCAGCAGCTGTCCAAACCGAGCGAAGCCGTTGCTCTGACACACTTGCATGGCGAGACCTGCAGCAGCGGTTGTGAGGGCCCCCGCCAGCACTGTGAATGCCATGTGGCGAACGGCACACACAGCCTTGTCCACGCGACTCACATAGCCATACCTGATCCACAATGCACAAGCGACAACACGCGTCGATCGATCAACAACCCATGCCATGCCTGGATGAGCTCACTTGGTGGCTGTCTGATAGACGTGTCCGAGGTGGATGACGTAGTCGACTGAGAAGCCTATGGTCATGACGCCAACAATGCACTCATAAAAGCCCAGCTGCCAACCCAACACGGCTGATGGAAGGACAGACAAAACACAGGAAAGTACACACACACACACACACACGCACACACGTACACACTCGAATGCGCGTCTGGCTTGTGGTGCGTTGTGCACTGATTGTTACCTCTGATGAATCCCATGACGGTCACTACGATCGCCCCGATTGACATGATGGCGTACACCGAAAGAATGGCATTCCTGCAACCCCACACGCACACGTAGACCGATCCATCCATTTGTCCCTCTCTCCCTCCCTGCCTGTGTGCTCTCCGCTCCGTTCCTCACCCAGTCGCTACAAGCAGGACGATGAATACGGCGGGGAAAATGACTTGAAAACCCCCGAACAGCCCGCTCACCATGCCCTCCAGCACCTCCGTCTCGGCAAACTCGCGATCGCCCTCGTAAAACGCAGATCGCAGTGGGGGAGGCGCGCGGGCACGGATGTCACCCAGCCAGTCGTCTAGCCACTCCACCAACGCTATCTTGGGCGCAAACCTGCACAAACCAGCCATTCGCCGATATGTATTACTGTGTGTGTTGGATGGGAAGGGCGGCTGTCGTGTCTGACAGACCTGTTGAATATGCGTATGGTCGATGTGAATCGGATGGCGACCCATTTGAGCTCGCCCTCCACGATGCCGATCGTCAGGGCGTGCTTGGGGGTGCCCGCCAGAGGGCCGCTCGCAACTGTCACGTCCGACTGGAAGCGCCGCAAACGATCGGTAAGCGACATACCTTCGGCGTCTGTTGCGTTGCTGCGGGCACTCTCTTGCCATGTGTTGAAGTCGCGGATAAAGCAAATGACCGACCCCGGCTGCGCCAGGCGCTGAACGCCATTTTCTGATGCCCTGATGGATGGAGAACAAGGACCCATGCTGGTGTGGCTGGTGTGCCGTCTGGTGTGTCCCTCTCTCCCTTCGTATCTGACTCACTCGCAGATGGGCAGGTCACACGTCTTGTTCTCCACCTCCTGACACAAGTCTGCCAGGAACTGCCGCGTGGCGGGGTCGTCCAGGCTGAATGCATCGTCGTACCGCACCTCCCCTCTGTATTCAGTGGGCTTCCAGCGTGTGAATGGCGGTGGTCTGTCGATGCCGTCGATGCCGAAAAAGAGCGTGAGGTCGACGTATGAGCCGAGGCTGGGCGGCCCCTGGAACTGACGCGCAAAGCGGTCCGCCACATCTGATGTAGAAGAAAGAGCGTGTGTGAAGCGGTCTTGGGTATCAAATGGTGTGTATCTCATTAACACTCCCTCACCGTAGAACATGTGGTCTTTTGAGAAGCTCTGCTGGCTCCAAGTGTCATCGGTCGGCCGCAGCCGCAGCGCCCACCAGCAGTGCCACCCCGCAACGAAAAGCAAAACCCCCACCAGCACCCATGGCACAAAGGTCACCCCGCCCCACCGCCACAGCAACGGACGCACATACACAGCCTCCAACACCCGCCGCGGCCAAGTCATCTTCTCTTCCGGCTCTCTCTGGCTGCCCTTGGCCTGCTCGTGGTCATCGTCACTCATTCCATACGCAAAGGGGGAAGGGGAGCTCGGCAGCGAGGCCGTCGATGTGGATGGCGAGCGGGATTGGTGTTCTGGCGGGAAGAAAGATGGTGTCGCGCTCGCGGCGTGCGCGTAGGGGGTGGGTGGCCGGGACAGGCCGAATGGGAAGGAAATGCGCGTTGATGGGGTGGGGGAGTGGGGGTGGGGGGAGGAACCGTCGAGCTGGTGCTCATGCTCATGCCGCTTTTGCACTCCCTCGTCGCTCATCAGATCGGCTTCATGATGCGATGCGAGGCCCTCGTCAGTGCCGGCATTGTCGGCCACACACACCGACACAGAGCTGGCCGGACCGATAGAAGACAGGGACCGTGGTCGTGAGCCTACCCCGTCGCCAACCCCGCTCCTCTTCTCTCGCCGCCTTTTGATGATGACCAGCACTGGCGGCAGCAGGGAGAGCGTCAGGAGGTAGTTGGTGACGGTGCAGATGCCGGCGTAGAGGCCGAAAGCTTGGATGGGCATGAGTGGGGAGTTGCAGAGGGCAAAGAATGCCGCCGCTGTGGTCAGGTTGGTGATGAGCGTGGCGGCCGCCGTGTGGCAAAACGCGTGGTGCAGCTGCCTGAAATCACAGACCGAGAAAGAGATGAGCAAGCATGGGATGTGCGGTGGGCTCCTTTGCCGCGGTGTCTTACGTGCTTCTGGTTGCGTGCTGGTCGTCGTACTGCAGCTGTTTGATGGCCCATGCGTCCCACATGACGAGCACGTTGTCGGCACCCATCCCGCACAACACGAACAACGCGCCTTTCTGCATGCTCCCAAAGTAGTTCAAGCCCGCTGCAAGAACGCACACACGGACCCACCATCGATGAGCTTTTTCGGTCATGCCTGCTCATCTCATATTTGTTGCTGTCTGATATACGTACCGACGAATCGAAAGAGGAGGTACGCCAGCGAAAACGAAAAAAAGATCTGAAGACATCCTGAGAACAAGAGACGAGCGAATCAATGACGGTGGCGCCTCTGTTGATGTGCTCAAGGGAACACGCGTACCGGCGAAGGAGTACATTGGCGACTTTGTGTAGAGGGCAAAAAAGACAAAAACGAGAACGATGGCCGCGGCAGCCCAAAACTGGTCCGTGTAGAAGATATCCGCCCGCTCGTCAAACCACAACGGCCGCGCCCACAAGGCCACACGGATGGATGTGCTGGTTGTGGTGTTATTGCCGGGGACCTGCAGCAGCCAGCCCCTGTCGTCGGTGTGCCTGTAGGGTGACCGGTCGAGCACTGGCGAGATGTGCAGGTGGGAGAGGATGTCACGCTCCAGCGACCGCCAGAAGGGAAGGTATTCCTTGTCCTAACCAAAGCAGACAAAGAAAAGCCATCTCGTTTGTGTCTTCTGTGTGGCTGCGTGCCTGCCTACCTGAGTGTACTGCCGATCGAATTCGTTCCTGTATCCCTTCAGCGGTGTGCCCAGAGGAATCAGCGACCTCGTCGACGTCATCTCGCCCTCGCCAGGCCCCTCTCCCTGCGCCAGGAAGAATCGCGCGTCAGGCCGCAACCGGTAGGTGACCTCCGACATGAGGGTGTTCTTGACATCACCCACTCGGCTGGCCGTCAGCAGCTGGCACGAAAAGTCGTGGGCATAGCCATAGAAGAGGTTGACGATCGATCCCTCAGACCGGGCACACTTGTCGCCGTCGCCCGAGAGGAGGCACACAGATGTGTAGAAGGGGTTTTGCACGACCAGTCGCTCGACTTGGCACATGGCCTGGAGGGAGCTGGGGGTGAAGAGATCCTCCGGCCGGTCGGCGTAGTAGATGAGTCCGACTGTCTGCACTGGATTGACCCGGTACCTCTCTTCGTCTTCGTATCCTGGCAGTGGATCAGTGCCCTGAACGATGATGCAGGCAGAACAGGCCAGGCGGTCAGTGTCGGTCGGTCGGTCGGTCGGTTGGTCGGTCGTGTGGGCATTCATTGACGTATGTAGGTACGTACCTCTAGCGCGAGTTTCTTGATGTCCCACTTCTGAGCCTGAGGCCCATCGGGGATCAGCCAGTCGATGTCTTGCTCGTCGGGACGGAGAATTGATGCACGTAGATCACGCCACAACCCACCTAAGCAATCAGTCAAGCAATGACAGCAACACACACCAGAGCGACTAGGAATGATCCGTAAGTGTACCTGAGGACCAATCGGCGTCTGTTCCCTTGAGGATGGTCTCCGCGAGCAGTGCAACCCCCGTGAGCACGACACACGTCAGAAGGCAGATGGCCAGCCAATCCCAGGGCCTGGCAGCGACCGACCGGCAGTAGGCCCGTCCAAATGAATGAAGGCATCCCCACACTCCTCTCTCGTGCACAGTTTCATCATCATCAGCAATAGCAATAGCAATAGCTCTCTTGCTCCGCATCTCCAGTCAGTCAATAATCCACGATAGGCAGATCCACAGTGAGCAGATGCGGGCCTTTGAAGTCCTTTGCAGTCCTTCTCGCACACGTGCAAGAGGGGAGAGAGAGCACACAAATCGAGAAGCAGCGATAGCAGTAGCAACAGCAACAGCACAGTCAATCAAGTCCAGTACCATCGCCGCGCCACATTCATCGTCATGAGGGGGCGCGGCGGTCTACTGCGGCCAGAGGGTGCAGCAGCGCTGTCAATGGTGGCTGGGCACGAGTGCTTCTTGACAGCCGATGGGCTGAGAAATCTCCACGGAAACAACGGCCACCTGACAATCGATGATCAGTCCATTTTTGGGTCTGTCCGTCGACTGATCTTGCCTCTGCTGCACCTCCCAAGGCCTGGTGAAGGAAAAAAGTGGAGGGTCGGGTTATCGATCAGCTAGGGTTCAAGTGCCCTGTACGGAGAGAGGGAAGGACAGCAGGCAGAAGCCGCTCGGAAGAAGGCGCCATCCTCGGAAGTGCGACGACAGCAGCGAATTGGACGACATCTGCTGCTGATCATGATGGATCAAGTGATGAATGAATCTTGTGAGAAGAGAAAAGAAGGCTGGAGTCTCGAGGGCCTCTTCGCCCAGCCTGGGAGTTCCCCATTATTGGGAGGTGATAAAGGCTGGGCGGATCAAAATGGCTGGTTTGAAGGTGATAAAGGCAGAGATGAAAGCACTGGCCACTGGCATGGATGAGAATCTGATCTCTTTGCATCTGCCTCTGATGTCTGTGTTCAGGTCACGTCGATGGACGACCGCCATCTGCCGCGTGAGTACTTCCCACTGCAACGGAGACCTGCAGTGGATCAACTCCACGCCCGTCTGCTGCATCAACTCCGCCGAACACCCCTGCGTGCGTGCTCTGTCCCCATCAGTGTGTGAGTGAGTGTGTGACTGACTGGCTGTTGTGCTGTTGGATGGCTCATGTGAGTGTTCGTCTGTTGCTGTGGCTGTGTGGCTTTGTCCACAGAGAGAACCGTCCACACAAAGACGCTAGTACCGTCTCTCCTGTCACAGTGAGTTTGCCTGCCTGCCTGCCTGTCTGCCTGTCTGTCGGTCTGCACTGATGCCCTCATTTCTTGTGTGTGGCCGTTTCATGCTTCGTGTTGGGCTGGCCATCTCGTGATTGGCGAATAGTTGAGGTAATGAGAAGTGTGACACCCAGCCGTGGCGGCGAGAGCCTCCCTGGAGTGTGGTGTTTTCGTTCCTCGATGTGAGTAGTGTCTGAGAGTGAATTGAGTGCTTGTGTGGCTGTGTGGGTGGTGTGGCTTTACTCCTTCACTGGGTGACTGACTAGGTAGGCGACTGCCGCGGCGGCACACGTACATGCGTATGTTTCATTGTCGATATCGAGCAAGGGCCGGACAACGATACAATGCCATTGATTTGTGTCAGGTGCAAACCAGCGCGCGTCTGTACGCAACACTCACAATTGCACACACACACATTCCTTGAAGTGAACTCACACACAGAAATTACTCACTCTCATTGGCTGCCCGGCCAGCTGGCAGGCAGTGCGGGTACTGTGACGTCGAACGACATGGGTGACGCATTTGATGTCATTCCATTCACTCAGACGGGGAGGGCGAGCACCCCTCCCCACACACCAGTACACCACCACATGTCACACAGCCACAGGGCAGGGCGCCGCACGCCAGTCGACTATATATCCAGTGCAGACGCATCACACATACACGCATACGCACAGCAAGGCAGATCAGTTCTGTACACACGCACACACACATGGACTCGCATCTGTCGACACACTTGATGAAAGACCAGTGACGGACACACAATCACAGGCAGACAGACAGACAGACGAATGCAGTCTGGAGAAGCAAGCCTGAACGCAGCACACATGACACGGAGAGAGGGCATGTGAACTGACGATGGGCACGCGTGTGTGTCTGTCTGCCTGTGGAACTGCCTCACTTACATCTCCCGTGCTTGCAGTGGTAGCCGGGCCTACACACAGGCGGGAGTTGGAGCTGGCTGGGAGGGCACGTACCTGAAAACAAAACACACAAACCAACGAAGGACACAGTCGATGGCGGCACACACGTTGATGGATGCGTGTTGCAGTGTGCCCTGTTTGTTCGTTTTGCTGTCTCACATTGGCCTTGGTTGTATCATCACCACTCTCGGCGCGGGCTTCCGCGGCGCCCAACATTTGCAACACGCAATAATCAACGCAACAACGCCACAAACCGGAAGAACGCATATCAGCACCCCGATAAGAATAACCCACCCTGAACACCACACAACAGAACAGAAGGGAGGAATAGGGATGACTGACGCCCAGTAAGCTCTCTGTCTTCATGTGGTTACTCACACTAGCGAGAAGCCTACGCGCACAGCGCGTGAACGAGAGCAAACAAAAAGGAGATAGGGAGCGATTTCCCAGTTGTCCAGTTTGTCTGGCCGCTTAGCAGGCGGCGGAGCGAGCAGGGCTCGGTCGCTGGCCACGTCGCGGCGGTGCAGGCAAGCGTCTGTTCCAAAGGAGAATCTCAAAGGACATGTTGAATCACATGAGAAATGGACTTAGTAGTTCAACATGCCCTGGTGGATAGAGAGAGAGAGAGAGAGAGACAAACCGATGTGTGCAGAGGGTGTGTGGAATGCACACACACACAGACACACACGCTCAGCTCGGCCCTTCGGGCCTCGCCTTCGCACC